TGACTCTAGATATAGTCCTCTAGCATATTCCTCATGTAGTAACATTTATGTAACAGTCTTTTAAAAATATTTTGACGCAAAACTCAACTATAAAGTCATGAATCCATTGGAGCATAGGTTCATAAGACTGTCAGAGGTTGCAGGCACTTTAAGAGATCATCTCATTCAACTCATCATTATAAAGATGAAAAGACAAAACTCAAAGGAAGTCAAACCACCTAAGTTCATACAACCAGTAAACTATAATGTCAGGATTTGTCTCTAAATCCTACAACTCCAGTCTACTGCTTGATATCATGCTATGGCCAATGCAGGAATGTATTTTACTTGACTATGCATACTTGTTACGAGGGTTGTTTTTTTTCTCTTTCTCTCTCTTTCTTCCCTTAATAGGGGAAAGAAAATAGATTTTTTTGTTCATTAAAAAAAAAAACTTAATAAAATTTAATTTCAAAAATGATGGAAATTAAAAAATCTTAAAACTATTATATCATGCTGCCTATACATTTCAATTCAATTAAATTACAATTAAATACAACAGACATAAATGTTGACTGTGTGCCAAACACTAGGCTGCCTAGTTTGGCTGGCTGTCCATTAAAATGTTGTCCTGTTTAATATCATTTCACCTAAAACTATTCTGATTCATTAGATCATCCCTATTTTACTGGAAAACATCACTATATACCACACCTCCTTATACCTCATCCTTGTTAACATTATTATAAATTTTCAGAGCACTTAACAGCTAATATTTCATTAAAGAGGAGGATGCTGATAGGGCAAGCCATGTATCATTCTCCCCATTATACAGATAAATTAACTCCAGTAGAGGACAATTAGGTAATTCTCCACTTTACCAGAGGAACTTTCCACTAAGCCACAGTCCTTGGCCATAAAGGGAATACTTAATACAAAAAGAGAAACAGAAGGGAATGTTTATTAAGCACCTACTATGTGCCAGGACTTGGGCTAAGTGTTTTTCAAATAATACATCGCTCGATCCTCACAACTACCCTGCAAGGTAGGTGCCATTATCATCCCCATTTTACAGTTGAGGAAACTGAAGCAGACAAATGTTAAGCAATTTCCCCAAGGTCACCCAGCTACTAAATGTCTGACAGGTCTTCCTGACTCCAAGCCCAGTTCTTTTATCCAATGACCCACTCACTGAACTGACTCCAATAATATAAAAACAAGGTAAAATGATTATATTCTATTTAATGAACATCTGTCATACATTTACAATCAATGCAGGTGCTCTCAGAGAAAAACCTACCTTATGAGTATAATTGAGGTTACTTTTCTGTAGTCGACGGGTGTAAAAACAACCCCAACCCTTCTCCTTTCCAGGGGCTGTAGATGCAGGTGCAGCTCTTCAGACTGGGCTGTCACACGAAGGTCTTCATGGCCCCTTGTACCCTGCCAGTGATTCACACACAGCTCATTACAGCAGAAATCACCCAGGGCAAGCCTGTGCTATTTACCTTTACCAAACCATACTCTACAGTGGAACACAGCAGTAACTAGGGATTAACTTACTAAAGAAAGGTAATTTCCAAATGAGACAACCTCTCTAACACCATCCTATTATGCTTTCTTGTCCAAAAGTCGACATCCCAGGATGGGGTATCCCTCAAATTTGTAATCAAATTTTACTCCCATCTGTAAAATGTAGCTCAATACTACAGGACCGGGAATTGGGTGCCTACAGAGGCCTTTGGAGGTTACCTGGTCTAGCCTCACTTGCAACCACCATGACAAATAGTTATCAAAACAAGGCTTTGCGTGCAGGTCACTTATTACTTCACAATGCAGCCCAATCTGATTATAAGGCTCCAGACAATTACCAAGTCCCTTGGGATATATAATAAATTAGAGGGTGGGAGAGTGGGGAGAACTAATCACATGACCAATCAGGCTTAGCAATGCTCTTTAAAAATTCAAAAAACAGAGGCAGCTACGTGGTGCAATGGATAGAGCTCTGGTCTTGGAGTCAGGAGGACCTGAGTTCAAATCCAGCTTCAGACACATAACACTCGCTAGCTGTGTGACCCTGGGCAAGTCACTTAACCCCAATTGCCTCACCAAAAAAAGGCAAAAAAAAAAAAAATTCAAAAAACAAAGTTCTGAAAAGGACACTTCTCATTAATAGGGTTCTTCTTTAACCTGAACTCGAAGTTCTGGAATTTCCATCCATTGGTTCTACAATTTTGAACAAGCCAGATATCTGGATGTAATTCTCTGTTGTTCAGTCATTTAGTTGTATCTGCTCTCTTTGTGACCCTGTAGGTCATAATGTTCACGGGGTTTTCTTGGCAAAGATAATGGAGTGGTTTGCCATTTCCTAATATCTGGTCCTAGGGTCAGAAGACCTGAGTTCAAACCAAACCTCAGACACTTATTAGCTATGTGATCCTGAGCAAGTCATTTAACCAGTCTGCCTCAGTTTCTTCAACTATAAATAATAATAGCCTCCTACATCCCCGTTTGGGAGGATCAAACAAGATAATATTTATGAAGTACCTAGAACACAGTAGGCATTATATAAATGCTTATTCCCTTCTTCCTACCCCAGGAAGTTGAAGGAAACCTTTATTTGAAAATGTTTTAATGTGTGCCAGCCATGAAGTCAGGAAGACTCCTTCCTTAGTTCAAATCCAGCATGAGACACTTACTAGTTATGTGACCCTGGGCAAGTCATATAACCCTGTTTGTCATCCATAAAATGAACTAGAGAAGGAAATGGCAAACCACTCTAGTATCTTTGCCAAGAAAACCCCAAATGGGGTCACAAAGAATCAGATACGACTGAACAACAAAACTATTTTAAAATGGAATGCACAGAATAACCCACAACACTCCACATGTGACTGATGTCCAGAGTACATCTGCAAACTACATCGAGTATTTATGATATCATAGAAAAGCTAAGTAATTGTGAAGATTACAAGGAAATCTAATTTAAATAACTTCCAAATGCATCTCAAGAAAAACAGTGACTTTTCACACTGCTTCTGAAACTTTTAATTCCAATCTTGTAGTGATTAGTTTGTTATTAAAAAAAAAAAGGACTAATATTTCATACGTGTGAGAAGCACTCTCCTCAGAGTTAGGTTTGTATATTCCCTATACATTTCTGACACCTAAAGTGTAGAAAATGGGGTAGAGGTAGGAAAATGTAAGTATTTCATATATACATTTTCAGAATTCCATCCTCTAGAGTAGATTTCATATAATGAAGATAAATCATTTGGTAGAATGAGTCCTTTATCTTCATCCAAAGAGCCAGAAAATCATTAGAATGAAAACTGGGAAACCAGGCTCCTAAGTTAATAAGCAAAAAGTAATTCCAGCATGCCACAATTAGTACTGTCCATAAACACATATCAAGTACTTCATATTTCTAAGAGTACTTTCTAACCCTCAGAATCATTCCCTTTTTAACAAATGGGAAAAGCTAGGCTTTTAAGTGAGATGGTCTGGTAAAGATACACAGTGGGTTAGCAACAGAGCCCCTTAATGGGATCAGAATCCCTGCATCTGGCCTGCTACAATCCTCATTCAGCAATAACACCTTCTGATATCACTTGCTCGCTCTCGGTGATGATCAAAAACTAAATTAACAAAGTAATTTACCAGCTAATACCAACCAAACACTATAATATACTCACTAGCTATCTAGGACACTGCAAAAGAAGTAATGAACAAAAATTGGAAGATGGGGATTAGTAACAGTATAATCACTTCATGAAATCCAAAGCAGGTCTGGCTACACTTTGAAATTCAACATATTAAAAATTTAAAGAGTTTCCTAATATATATGACATGATACTTTTAAGGACTTAGCAAATGACTACCAAATTCAGCATGCTATAACACTTTCAACATATCAGTGAGACCTACACACTCATGTTTTCTCTTGTTTCCTAGAATAATTCCATCTTTGCCTAAAGTAAGCATCTTACCAGATGGGGGCACATTTCAGTAAGCTGGAATTCACCAGTTGTGAAATTAATCGTTTGGATATCGATGTCAAACCTGAGGAGAAAGAAAATAAGAACAGTGGGAAAAAAATTAGTACTTTATTCAAATATGTCAAAAGATAAATGAATGGTGCATGCTTTTAAACAAATGTTACTTGGCTTTCATGTTCACCCTAGTGACATCTAATCACCCAATACTGACCATACAGAACTATCACTGGCAAATGACAGACCACAGATTTAGATTAGAGGGGACCCTTCGGGGTAACGGAGTCCACACAATTTAAATGTAAGGAACTGAGGCCTGGAGAAATGAACACATATGTCACATCAGTGCCAGAATTTGAACCCAGATCTTGACTCTAAATTTAGCAGCCTCCTCCTTTCCTTCTTTGGGTTCTCTCTGAGAAAAAGCACAAAAGATGAAGTGCTGGACTTGGCATCGGGAAGACCTAGGATAAAATCCTCCTTCTGACTTTTACTGTTGCTGTGGTTATAGGCAAGTCAATTAACTAACCTCTGTGAGCCTCAATTTCCTTGTCTGTAACCCAAAGTTGAACAAATGGGTCTCAATGGTTCCTTCTAGCTCAAAATCAGATCCTAAAGTTACAAAATAATTCATTGGGCAAAAAAAGGGAGAGTGAAAACACTGTATACATCATGGGCAAAAAAGACTAAGAGGATATCCGGAGTTGATTATCATTCTCATGAAGCTAAAGTGAGAAATAATGAATCTTTTGTTATTTTTGTTCAGTCATTTTCAGTCCTGTCCAACTTTCTGTGACCCCATTTGGGTTTTCTTGGCACAGATACTAGAGTAGTTTGCCATTTCCTTCTTCAGCTCATTTGACAGATGAGGAAAATGAGGTATACAGGGTTAAGTGACTTGCCCAAGGTCACACAGCTAGTAATTGGGAGGCTGGATTTGAACTCAGGAAGATGAGTCTGACTCCAAGTCTGGAGCTCTATTGCGCCAACTAGCTGAGATATATGTGTGTGTGTATATATACATACACACACCCATACACACTTATATATATACACATATATATACATATACATAACTTTATTTATATGTAAATTTTATTTCATTAAAGTAGTTCATATTTTCCTATTGCTCATGCTAAGTGGAATTCTTAAAATGTGTGCTGATATTCTCTCATTCAGAATTAATATTTATAAAATCATTACCACCAAGGGGCGGAAAGCATGACCAAATTCCAGTGAGAGTTGCATTGTAAGGGCACCACAGAGAGTGTTAAATAACAAACATCATTAGAGCCGGGGGATCAGTTACACTTTCAAAAAATAATCACCACCAAAGGGCTGGGAGCACGAAGGTCACTCAATCCCCGGGCACGGAAGTTAACTTGTACTTTCTACATGCAAATAAGGTACAGATTTAACTTCAGAAGGGATCATAGAGATTCCTTAATGACAGATAAGGAAAATTAAGCCCAAGGTAGTACAGCTGAGATCTGAACCTATACCCTTTAAGTTCAAGTTCAGTGCTCCTGTACCTCCCTGTTCTAAGTAGTTTTTTCTCAGCATTAATAATAGGAGTTCCTTTATGAAGCTGAACGATAATTATAATGATCAATCAAGCTTAGAGCCCAAGGAGAGATGTGAAGACCCACCTCCCTCCGAGACACTAGGCGTGGCCCACTGCTGAATGAGTTCTGCTACACTGTTTCATTCTTTGTTACAAGAATGATTGTTTGGGTAGGTGGGGGTCTGGGAGGGAAGGTGCAGGATATATTTGGGAACAAAGGTGATATAAAAACAATACAAACTTTGAAAAAAAAATTAAGTTTCTTCTTAAGATTAAGTACTTTACCATTTATGGAGCAGGTTCAATGCCCATTCAGGTTCAGGATATGAAGACAGAGGGAGCAGCTGCAGGGTAACTGGGAAAGATGAGGGATTCCTCAGCACAAAATATTTCACCTAGACAGTTGAAAATTTTAAATTAAAACACCTTTACGTGATGACACTGGAAAATTAGATTGGTCAATTTAGGAACAGTGTTCTAGTCCTAAGAGGGATCATTCCAATCCAATCCAATCCAACAAGCCTTTCAGTCAGACTTTGTGCTGGGGGAGGTTTGGAGGAGTGGGGGTAATACACAAAAACAAAAGAAAAATAATCCCTATCCTTAAGGCCCTCCCATTCCCCTGAGGAGTGAGGGATGTACCATTTAGTAGACAGGTGGCACACTGGATAGAGCACAGGGCCTAGAGTCAGGAAGACTCAATTCCTGAGTTCAAATCTGGCTTCAGACACTAGCTGTGTGACCCTGGACAAATCACTTCACTCTGCTTGCCTCAGTTTCCTCATCTGTAAAATGAGCTGGAGAAAGAAATGGCAAACCACTCCAGTATCTTTGCCAAAAAAAAACCTCAAATGGGGTCATGGAGAGTTGGATCCTGGACAAGTCATCTCACCCTGTTTGCCTTGGTTTCCTCATCTGTAAAATGAGCTGGAGAAGGACATAGCAAACCACTCCAGTATCTTTGCCA